TTCACAGCAAAAGATTTCACAAGGAGAACCTCCGGTAAATCCAGGACAACCTGCAATGGCCACTGAATATCCTCCTCTCACTTTCTCAGCTATAAAGCCTCTGATATTTGAATTTGTTGTCCAAATCTTGGTCAATTCCATCCAGGCTTCATTTTTTCTGAACCTTTGTTGAAGGAGAAGTGGCATCTCGACTCGGAATCGGTGGGTGGCGTGTTTGTGGTCTCCGTATTTAGTAGGCTAGGAGATTTTGGAGATTTTGGAGTTTGTTTTAGTTTAGAGCGTAATTAATACGTGATTTATGTGATGCTTAATTAATTTAGGGTATTAATCTAATTGGGTCAATTTTTAGAGNTTCACAGCAAAAGATTTCACAAGGACAACCTCCGCTAAATCCAGGACAACCTGCAATGGCTACTGAATATCCTCCTCTCACTTTCTCAGCTATAAAGCCTCTGATATTTGAATTTGTTGTCCAAATCTTGGTCAATTCCATTCAGGCTCCATTTTTTCTGAACCTTTGTTGAAGGAGAAGTGGCATCTCGACTCAGGATCGGTGGGTGGCGTGTTTGTGGTCTCCGTATTTAGTAGGCTAGGAGATTTTGGAGTTTGTTTTAGTTTAGGGCGTAATTAATACGTGATTTATGTGATGCTTAATTAATTTAGGGTATTAATTTAATTGGGTCAATTTTTAGAGCATTAGGCTTTATTTTCCCTTTTATAATGGTGTTAACCTTGACCATCATAGTGGGCCAATAACTTTATAGTAGGGTGGGCTATAACCTAAATTTGGACTAGACGTGCTTTTAAGGTGGGCAGTGGGCTAAATTTTTTTTGAAGTCCATGTTAGTTTTTAGGTCAAAATTGGATTGGTAAGGAAGGACTGATCTTAAGTTTGGGCTCGGCTATAACACAATTTTCCTACTCGAGGTGACAATTCAAAGGTACGGACCCACAAATGTAGCTCATATATGATTGACATCAAAATTTACACTCTTCCATATGAAAGGAGTCAAAGAAAATGTACGTGCATTATTCTTGTAGAATCAATAATGATTTTTTGAATGATGATTTTTTTTGGAGAATTTGTGTTTAAAGAGTGATGAAAAGTTCTTATTTATGTGTAAAATATTTTATTGTGTGAATGTATGACTGAAAATAATTACGAGAAATAAGGAGTTTTAATTTAAAGAGAGCCAAACATGGACGTAATAACTCACAATAACTTGACTTGTTAGCATGCATGCTACCATCCAAATTCACTAATCACACAACTATAAAGTGCCAAGTTAGTCAGTTTCGAGCTTAGTGAGTGATCTTGTAAAGAATAAAGCTACTCTGACAGGGATTGCATCCAGGGTTTGGAGACAACGCTGACATGGCGAGTTTTTATTTGCCTGTTTTTTGTTTAAAAATCCATCTTCCAATGATTTGGTGACAAGTGTTGTTTGTCATCAAATCCTGTCAATAATCCCTATCACAGTAGCATGGTTGTCTTCTAAATTATAATTCATCATTGCATTATACATTGACTTGCACTAAAATATGTAACGATGTTCACACAATCATACACGAAGGTCTACACACTCACTCTTTATAATTAATGCTTAAAAATACATTTTTTATTAGAAAATTAAAGTTGGTGCGATGATCAACCTCCCAGCTCTGCTACTAACCGAGCTTCTCATCTTGCATATTTTGAAGCCTTGAAGTTGTTATCCAGTTGATCTAGCGGTGGCAAAAAAGTTCGGGGGCTCAGACGGCTCGAGCTTGGCTCGTAAAAAGCCCGAGCCGGGCCAGACTCAGGCTCGGTCGAACCGAGCCTAGGCTCAGGCTGTTGCCCCAAACCGAGCCCCATTTTGGGGCAACGGCCCGAGACCGGGCCGGCCCGTGTGGCTCGCAGAGCATCACAGGCCGAAATGGCCCGTGTCCAGTATAAAAAAAAATTAAATTTTAAACTAAAACAAAAGCTGCCGGTGTGCAGGCAGCTACAAAATTGTAGCTGCCTACAAAATTAGTTGCATGGAGGCAGCTCTTAGCTAGCTATGTCAACGAGTCGAGCCCGAGCAGGGAAAAAAAGTTCGGGCTCGGACTGAGCTTTTTTCGGCCCAAACCGAGCCAAGCGAGCCCGGCCAAAAAATACGAGGCTTGGGCTTTTTTTTTAAAATCTACATTTTAAAAAAAATTGTACATTTTATGCGTGTTATAAATTAAAAAAATTATAAAAGTTAAAAAAACTATCATCCTTTATCCGGGTTTGAGACCGGCTATAATTATCGTAGGCGGAGTTAAAATTATACACGAATAAAATATTTCGTGTAC